ACTGTATATATATACATATAAGTTAAATAAATTACATGTATTTTATATAATTTACAAATATATTACTTTTTTAGAATATTGACATTAAGAATAGTGATAATGATTTAATACTACTTGATGATAAATTAGAATTATCAGCTATATTTGAATTAGACCAAACTTTGCTATATAATTCAAAAGAGCAATCAAATTTATTATCTCTGTCAATTCAAAAACGAAGAATAGCTGTGATTTGCAATTAAAAATATAGTGTTTCAAGAAGACAGAAAATATAATTATCAAAATAAATGTGTATTATATTTATATGTGCTATATAGTATATTAATTATAAATTTTTAATATGTAGTCTGTTTAATGTAAAGATAGTATTAATACAATATTATTTAATAAAGATATTATATGATCCAAACTTGAAAGGCTTTTTGAAGAAAAGCAAACTAGTTAGAAGTGATGTGACTTCATAAAATCTTGTTTTGAACAAGATATTTGTTTAAGTAATAATATTGAATAAAATAAAAAAAAGTTATTCACATAGTTTGACAGCAAAAAAAATAAGACAAAGCAAATATCTAAATTAGAGTTGAATAAAAATTTGTAAAGATTCTAAAATATCATATCTTAATATATTATATACATATAATAAATTATATATAATATAGTAGTGTATATTATAATATATAGCGATAAGATTATATATAATATATCTTATAATTTTATAGATATGATTATAAATTTTGCAATTTATAATAATGTAATTATTTTATACTATGTGGGTCAAAAACAATGTTTTTTTTTTTATGAGCCAGTTAAAAAAATGGGTCGAGTAAGTTAAAAACAATATTTTTGTGATAAGATCACCAAAAAAAAAAAAAAATTTTCTTTACAAAATATATAAAAATTATTTAAGTTTTTTTTTGATTTTATATAATTGTAATTCTATTAAAAAATTTTATAATAAATATTATTAAATATATATTTTTTTTTAATAATTATATTAATCTTAAATCTAACTCTATAGAATAATGATTTGAAATATACTTAACAGTCTTCTTGAGTAAGTTTGAATTATTATTATCTCTTTAGTCTTTATTAAATTTCATATTCTAACTTTAATTAAACTTTTATGATTATTTTAAATATAAATTAATTATAGTTAGCAAAGTTTTAGAGGTTATAGAAATATTATTTAAATAATTAATTTTCTATATCAAATTATTTTTGTATAAGATAAGGGTCTAATGTATTAAAATCACTTATTAGAATTATAGATTTATAATTTTTATATAATTGTAATTATCAATATATATCAATACTGAAATATACTTATATATATATGTTCAAAAAAGTTATTATTATATAGAAAACTAATTATATATTATCATTTATCTAATTATTATTAACTATTATTCTTTTCTACACTTTTAGTATTATTTTTGTTAAAAATATTACTAATAATACTATTACAACTATTATTATTTATTCACAAATTTTTTTTTCTTATCATTTGTAAAGTATTTAATTTGTTTTGATTTTTTCTTGATTACATGTTTAAGAACAGATAGTAATAGCTAGCACTAAAACAAAATTAATATTTTTTTTTTTTTTT